TTAGCATATGAGAGGTTTTTACAAAGTAGAAGTGATGCAAGGAGGGTAGAGTATATGGAGAGAAAAAAAGAGATTAAGAGAGTGGTGAAGCCATGTAAAAAGTGAGCAAATGAGAGAGTGGGTGAGATGTTATCAACAAATTTTACTGAAAATAAGAGTTTTGGAGCAAGATTAATAAGCTGAGGAAGCCTAGGGAATGAATGGATTTGAGTTAAAAATAGGAGAGAAGAGTCATTAAATGGCAAGTTAGAGGTATTGGGAAGATGGAGGAAATATTTTGAGGAACTGTTAAATTTTGATGAAGATAGGGAAGCTGTGATTTCGTGTATAGGGCAAGGAGGAATAACATTTTGTAGGAGTAAGGAAGAGCCAGTTGTGAGTGTGGGGGAAGCTCGTGAGGCAGTGGGTCGAATGAAAGGGAGGTAAGGCAGCTGGGATTGATGGGATAAAAATAGATATGTTAAAAGCAGATGGGGATATAGTTTTGGAGTGGTTGGTGCTATTTAATAAATGTATGGAAGAGGGTAAGGTACTTAGGGATTGCCAAAGCGTGTGCATAGTTCCTTGGTATAGAGGCAAAGGGGACAAAAGAGAGTGCAAAAATTATAGGGGAATAAGTCTGTTGAGTATACCTGGTAAAGTGTATGGTAGAGTTATTACTGAAAGAATTAAGAGTAAGACAGAGAGTAGGATAGCAGATGAACAAGTAGGCTTTAGGAAAGGTAGGGAGTATGTAGACCAAGTTTTTACAGTGAAACATATAGGTGACAGTATCTAGATAAGGGTAGAGAGATTTCTGTAGCATTTATGGATTTGGAAAAGGCGTATAACAAGTATATACACGGAATAGGTGGTAAGTTACTAAATGGTGTAAAGAGTTTTTATGAGGATAGCGAGGATCAGGTTAGGGTGTGTAGAAGAGAGGGAGACTACTTCCTGGTAAAAGTAGGTCTTAGACAGGGATGTGTAATGTCACCATGGTTGTTGAACCATGAAACCAGGCCCTCTCCCAGACTTGTTCTCAGGGTCACCCAAATTTCAAAAAAAAAAATTATTTTTTCTTATGAAAAGATAGAGAATCTTTTCCCAATCATAATGACACCAGAAGTATGAAATTTTATGGAAAACTTACGGAATTATGCTCTCGCGAAGTTAGCGGTCTCGACGATGATTACGCATTGGAAATTTTGCACACTTCGAGCCCTATTTTCGGCCAATTCCAGTGTACTAGTTGACAAAAATCATAACTATTTCGCTAGAACTCCATTTTTTCTATCAAATGAGTACAAGATATCACCCATTTACCGATTTCAACTATCCAATACAGTGGTCAGAATTTAGCAATTTTGCCAATTTCACACAAATTTCAAAAGATGCCAATTTCCAAATAGGGTCCAGAATAAACAAGAAAGACATTCCTGGCACTAAAATAACATTTCCTCTGTTCATTAGTCACGTCCCCATGCCCCTCTTACATTCTTTTGCTTTCCACTTTGAATTTTTATTCTCACAAAAAATAGAAGATTTACTGTTACGCAGACTACTGCATTAGTGTAGAAATGGTATAAATAATATCAGCACACCTGTGAAAGAATATTAGACTCACCAGTTGACATGTATTGGACGGTGGCATGATTTTTTTTACTTCTGAACTTTGGCAAAAATCGAACATTTCTACTACTTTGAGCTCAATTTCAAGGTACTTTTCATTGTGAAACCAATCAAAATCATCTCAATTTCTGTAAAATATCTTCCATTCAACAAAATGAGACCAGGAAAACTAGAATACAGCAATAAATACCATACGAAAATACAGTGCAAAGTCGCTGTTGTAATCCAAAGACACGCTCAGTTTTTTTTTCTCATTACGCACTGAGTGCTGCAGGATTTTTTTTATACTGCGCACACTGACCACATAGACCCATTCTTTCATATGTAGGCCTACCAGCTTTCTCTCACTAGATTTGAGGGCGCTAGAATTTAGGCGTACTAGTACGTCAAAAACCCTGGTGCGTAAGCCGTACTAGTACGTCCGAAACCCTGAAAGGGTTAATATGTTTATAGATGGGGTTGTAAAAGAAGTAAATGCTAGGGTGTTTGGGAGAGGGGTGGGATTAAATTATGGGGAATCAAATACAAAATGGGAATTGACACAGTTGCTTTTTGCTGATGATACTGTGCTTATGGGAGATTCTAAAGAAAAATTGCAAAGGTTAGTAGACGAATTTGGGAGTGTGTGTAAAGGTAGAAAGTTGAAAGTGAACATAGAAAAGAGTAAGGTGATGAGGGTATCAAATGATTTAGATAAAGAAAAATTGGATATCAAACTGGGGAGAAGTATGGAAGAAGTGAATGTTTTCAGATATGTACTTGGGAGTTGACATGTTGGCGGATGGATTTATGAAGGATGAGGTTAATCATAGAATTGATGAGGGAAAAAAGGTGAGTGGTGCGTTGAGGTATATGTGGAGACAAAAAACGTTATCTATGGAGGCAAAGAAGGGAATGTATGAAAGTATAGTAGTACCAACACTCTTATATGGGTGTGAAGCTTGGATTGTGAATGCAGCAGTGAGGAGGCGGTTGGAGGCAGTGGAGATGTCCTGTCTAAGGGCAATGTGTGGTGTAAATATTATGCAGAAAATTCGGAGTGTGGAAATTAGGAAAAGGAGTGGAGTTAATAAAAGTATTAGTTAGAGGGCTGAAGAGGGGTTGTTGAGGTGGTTTGGTCATTTAGAGAGAATGGATCAAAGTAGAATGGCATGGAGAGCATTTAAATCTGTAGAGGAAGGAAGGCAGGGTAGGGGTCGTCCTCGAAAAGGTTGGAAGGAAGGGGTAAGGGAGGTTTTGTGGGCGAGGGGCTCGGACTTCCAGAAGGCGTGCATGAGTGTGTTCGATAGGAGTGAATGGAGACGAATGGTATTTGGGACCTGACGATCTGTTGGAGTGTGAGCAGGGTAATATTTAGTAAGGGATTCAGGGAAACCGTTATTTTTATATGGCCAGACTTGAGTCCTGGAAATATGAAGTACAATGCCTGCACTCTAAAGGAGGGGTTCGGGATATTGGCAGTTTGGAGGGATATGTTGTGTATCTTTATACGTATATGCTTCTAAACTGTCGTGTTCTGAGCACCTCTGCAAAAACAGTGATTATGTGTGAGTGAGGTGAAAGTGTTGAATGATGATGAAAGTATTTTCTTTCTTTGTGGGTCACCCTGCCTCGGTGGGAGACAAACGACTTATAAAAAAAAAAAGTATAACAAGGTGGATAGGGGGGCAATGTGACAGATGTTGCAGGTATATGGAATAGGAGGTAGGTTACTGAAGAAGTGGAAAGTTTTTATGAGGATAGTGAGGCTCAAGTTAGAGTATGTAGGACAGAGAGAAATTATTCCCCAGTAAAAGTAGGCCTTAGACAAGGATGTGTGATGTCACCATAGTTGTTCAATATATGTATAGATGGGGTTGTAAGGGAAGTGAATGCGTGGGTCTTGGAAAGAGGCGTGGGGTTAAAAGATAAAGAGTAACACAAAGTGGGAGTTGTCACAGTTTCTCTTTGCTGATGACACTGTTTTTGGGAGATTCTGAAGAGAAGTTGCAGAGGTTGGTGTATGAGTTTGGTAGGGTATGTAAAAGAAGAAAATTAAAAGTGAATGTAGGAAAGAGTAAGTGATGAGGATAACAAAAAGATTAGGTGACAAAAGATTGGATATCAGATTGGAGGGAGAGAGTATGGAGGTGAATGTACATATTCAGATATTTGGGAGTGGACATGTCAGCAGATGGGTTTATGAAGGATGAGGTGAATCAAACAGATGAGGGGGAAAAGGGTGAGTGGTGCACTTCAGGAGTCTGTGGAGACAAAGAGGGAAGTGTATGAGAATCTAGTTATACCAACACTCATATATAGGTGTGAAGCATGGGTGGTGAATATTGCAACAAGGAGAAGGCTGGAGGCAGTGGAGATGATGTGTCTGAGGGCAATGTATGGTGTGAATATAAGGCAGAGAATTCATAGTTTGTAAATTAGGTGGTGGTGGGGGATTACCAAAACTATCATCCAGAGGGCTGAGGAGGGGTTGTTGAGGTGGTTCGGACATGTAGAGAAGCTGGAAGGAAATAGAATGACTTCAAGTGTATAAATCTGTAATGGAGGGAAGACGGGGTAGGGTCAGCCTAGGAAAGGTTTGAGGGAGGGGATAAAGGAGGTTTTGTGTGCGAGGGGCTTGGACTTCCAGCAAGCATGTGTGAGTGTATTTGATAGGAATGGAGACAAATCGTTTTTAATACTTTATGTGCTGTTGGAGTGTGAGCAAAGTAACATTTATGAAGGGATTCAGGGAATCCAGCAGGCCGGATTTGAGTCCTGAAGATGAGAAGTACAGTGTCTGCACTCTGAAGGAGGGGTGTTAATGTTGCAGTTTTATAACTGTAGTTTAAGCACGCCTCTGACAAGACAGTGATGGAGTGAATGATGATGAAAGTTTTTCTTTTTCGGGCCACCTGGCCTTGGTGGGAATCGGCTGATGTGTTAAAAAGAAAAAAGTTATTTGCGTATACTGTAATACCTCTGTATGATACTAACCTGTGCTTAACCCTTTCAGTGGCTGTCATGTAGAACTACTGGTTAAACATACTTTTAACTCAAGAATATTTACTTCAACAGTTGTAGAAACTTACTGGCATAACTGGATGGACACCTGTAGTCCTAATCACAGAGTCTATCAGCGTTACAGCTTCAGGTGAAAGTGCTACTTGATATGGTTTCAGTTGCTCAGTGTCCTTTTTCTTCAGTGTCCCAGAAAATGGCTCGATAACATTCAGGTGGTAGAGTTGACGGACAAGTGAGAGAGAACAACTTTTACTGGCAGCTTGTTTATTGGATCCAGTTTCTCTTGCATAAACATCTGTAGATGAAGTGATAGGAATTTAAATATACATGTATATACAAAACAACTTTGAACATAAACTCTACACACTCTCATTCTATTTTTTCTGGTTTCCAGTGCTTTAGAAATGTAGGGATTGGCATATTTCAATATTTCTGAATGGAGAGTATGTTGAGTACTGTTCTGGGAACCAGTGTAAAACAAAAACAAAATAAGTTTGTCAAAACTCAATGGACTCTACTATACTCTGACCATACATTTTGTCTAAAGTTAATTATAATTAATATTAAACTATTTGGGAGCAAGGGGCTAGTAACCCCTTCTCCCGTATAAATTACTAAATTCAAAAGAGAAACTTTCGTTTTTCTTTTTGGGCCACCCTGCCTTGGTGGGATACGGCCGGTGTGTTGAAAGAAAGATTAAACTATTTAGTAGGCCCACACTGATCTGCTTCACACTCTTTAATGCTTAAAGTAATAACTAACAGAATGTAAGTTAAGATAAACCGTATTGATTTTAATGCAGCAGAATTTAAAAAAAAATTGAATGGTAAATCTGGAGGTCTCTGGAGTGTAATTTTATTTTTCCTACATGTTCTTCACATTAGATAATGCTGTTTTAGATTGGACATTGAGGATTTACTGAAGTAAATTAAACATATAAAATACTTACCTCTTTGAAGTTGCTTTACATAGAAGGACATTTCAGCCACAAAACTCCTGTTATGAAGGAGAGCAAATAATTAATACAAAATATAATACATAGTACAGTATATAATAAATATTAGGACAAATTCTAAGTCAAGTAATACAATGGCAAAGAAAAGTGACTGCCCAAATTCTTCACAAATGTAAAACAGTTTCCAAGATAAATACTGCTGGCAGTAATAATGTTAAGATGACAAAGAAATACTAGAGCAATCAATAAATGAGTGATACCCCTCAAGCTAAATAAACAAATAACAGCTTGAGGGTTGTAATGGTACACACAAACTGAATTTTATCCATAAAGCTAAAAACAAAACAATTACACTATGAGGATATCATTTTGACAAGATAAACAAAATGACAAGAAATAACTCTGTGGCAACCTGAAAATTTATTTTGCAACAAAAAACAGTAAAGTTATGCAAATTCTTAAACATTTTATATAAATAAAGCTATTTTGTAACTCTTAGCAGGGTTAACTGAAAGGTAAAAAACTGGCATATAAAAGATTTGCATAAGTTCATCTACTTTTCTTGGAGGCAGGAGAGTGCATTTTTGGGTGATCTGTACTGAGACTGAATGACAACAAAAAAGATAAAAAAAAAAAAAAAAGATAAAACAAAAACAGCAAAGGAAACCCTAATAGGATGATATTTCAGTTCCAATAAAGGCTCATCTTGTAATGGACATATTTAAAATACTGACCAACAGCAAGAAATAGGATGATAAATTTAGCCGTCTCCAAAATCTTTATTCACCAGCAATTTCAAAATTTAAACTTAATTTGCATGTCATGAAATTTCATTCATTAATTCTTTAAAACAATACACAATATTGTTTAATACCTCTGCACTAATTTTAGCAAGCCTTTCAGATATTCTTGAGTTTGTCAACAGTGCATGTTAGGGAATGAGTGTGGAGGTTCAAACTAAAATTCTGAAGGGCTTACCTGACAACTGATATGTGTGTGTAAATTTATGGCACCCAACCAAACACTTAAGTTGAAATAGTGAAATCAGCCACCAAGTTCTTAATTTTGAGATGTACGATACACTGTATTTGAAAACGAGCATGTCACCCTTTGACTATTCCCTTAATCTGAATTTAATAAAATATTCATTGACAAAAATTAAAAATACAATATGTACTTAATTAGGTCTTTCATTTTATGTTCTAGATGCATTCCTGGCCCATGACAGCTGTACTAAGCTCAGTCATGCCATAAAAATATATATGCATAATAAGAATTTTCAAAACTTTTTCCGAACCATGCCGATCACATGTGGCGAATGTATATATGTATTAGATAAGAGTGACTGATAAAAATAGGACATCATACAATAGTTAACTAGCACAAGGTGAATCTGCATAGAGAGGAAACTTGGCACATTAAAAAAAAATTCACTAATCATTAGCTGAAATGCCACTGGTTTAATATTACAGAAGTCATCCTCTAAGTATACCAAATTTGTGTGTGTACCAGTTCTGATGTAAAACAGAATTAAATGACCTTGACATTTGAAACTATTTTGTGTGGAGAAGAAAAACTGTAAAAAGAACTGGCAATACATAATTAGTAAAAGGAGCAAAAGCTACAGAAATTAAAATGTCAAATATAATTTTGAAATCTGCCAGGATAAATGTAGGAACTGCATAATATACTGTACTAATGAACTACAGTGGACCCCCGGTATTCGATGGCATCGGTATTCGATAAATCCGGTTTTCGATGCATTTTAACGCAAAAAATTTTCCTCGGTATTCAATTGAAAACCCGGTATTCGATATGATTTGTACGAGACCTGTCCACGTGTGGCCTGAACTGCTCTGTGTGTGCTAGTGTTTACAAGCCAGCCAGTGTGCGCGCATCTAAGGATACATTCGGTACATTCCATATTATCACTGTGTTTGGTGCTTGTTTCTGCAAAATAAGTCACCATGGGCCCCAAGAAAGCTTCTAGTGCCAACCCTTCGAGAAAAAAGTCGCTAATGACTTATGAAATGAAGAAAGAGATAATTGCAAAGTACGAAAGTGGAGTGCGTGTGTCGGAGCTGGTCAGGTTGTATAATAAACCCCAATCAACCATCTCTACTATAGTGACCAGGAAAACGGCAATTAAGGAAGCTGTTCTTGCAAAAGGTGCAACTGTGATTACGAAACAGCGACTGCAAGTGTTAGAAAATGTTGAGAGATTGTTACTGGTGTGGATAAATGAAAAACAGATAGCAGGAGATATCATCTCTCAAGCGATCATTTGTGAAAAGGCTAAGCAGTTGCATGACGATTTGGTAAAGAAATTGCCTGCAACTAGTGGTGATGTGAGTGAATTTACGGCCAGCAAAGGTTGGCTTGAAAGATTTAAGAATCGTAGTGGCATACATAGTGTGATTAGGCATGGTGAGGCTGCCAGTTATGTTGTGCGACAGAAGTCCAGTGACTCTCAAGCTGGTCCTAGTGGCATTAAAAGAAGAAGGGAAGCAACCCCGGAAAAGGACTTGCTACCTCAAGTCCTAATGGAAGGGGATTCCCCTTCGAAACACTAACCCCTCTCCCCTCCTCCCATCCCATCAATCACCACCAGATCTTCATTAAAGGTAAGTGTCAATTATTTTATTGTTATTGTAATTATTCTATTGCATTAAACTTAATACTTCATGTAGTAAATTTTTTTTTTCATACTTTTGGGTGTCTTGCACGGATTAATTTGATTTCCATTATTTCTTATGAGGAAAATTGATTCGGTTTTCGATATTATCGGTATTCGATGAGCTCTCAGGAATGGATTAATATCGAATACCGGGGGTCCACTGTACTGTATTAATAAGAAGAGACCATAAAAAGCAAGAAATCACTGTAATCCACGATTTCATTTACAAAGAAAGACTGGACAGTCTATGATGCATGAATAATAAAAAACGGTAAACCAAAGTTCTCAATGTACCATAAACACTAGGCTCTTTTATGTATCAGTACATCAAAAAACTAGTGAAAGAAGGCAACACCATCAATACTAGAGTTAGATTCTATCTAAAAAAAAAAAAAAAAAAAAAAAAAAAAAAAAAGAATTTTAAAATACTACAAAAGCTATCCGAACTTCATAATAAAAAGCAATTATGCTTTTTTTGTATGGAACATATGCTACAAGGAATTAATTACACAAGAAAAAAGACAAATTGGGTCAACCAGAGAACAAGAAAAAAAGATGATCAAGGACAGTATTTCTGTGAAACAAAATGGAATGAAATATTAATGAGAAGCTAAACAATTCGTTAACACATGAATATGAAAACAAATTATTTCATTCTTAAAATAAAGAAACAAATGAAACATTAAGAAGGTTAACCTTTCAGTCCAAGCCAAAATCTGAATGGTTGACCCCAAGTGTCCAAGGAAATTAAAAAAAAAAAAAAAAAAAAAAAAAAAAAAAAAAAAAAAAAAAAAAAAAAAAAAAAAAAAAAAAAAAAAAAAAAAAAAAAAGTTATTTTTTCTTATGAAATGGTAGAGAATCTTTTTGTGAAGGTAATAAAACAAAAAGTACAAAATTTGATGGAAAATTGACGAAATTATGCTCTCGCGAATTTTGATGTGTCAACGATATTTACGAATCGGCGATTTTGCCGACTTTGACTCCCATTTTAGGCCAATTACATTATTCCAGTCAACCAAATTCTTAGCTATTTCACTAGTATTACTACTATTCTATCGATAGAGCACAAAAAATCGCCAAGTCAACTGTTTCAACTACAAAATAAAGTGATCAGAAATTGGTAATTTGGGGAATTTAACACAAAGTTCAAAATATTCCAATTTCAAAATAGGGTCCAGAATAAACAATGTAGGTATTCCTGGCACATATTCTCTGTTCATTAGTTACGTTTTGAGGCTTTGCAAATAAATTCCATTTCGATTTTTTATTCACATAATGAATTTTTATTCACACCAAAAAATAGAAGATTTACTGTTATGCAATATTGTAATAATTGTATAAATATCATCACCACATTTGTGAATGTATATCAGACCCACCAGCTGGCCCAAATTTACCACTCACAGTTTATCAGAGTGAGCTGAGCTCATGGCGTAGATCTATGGTTTGGACCCTGAACGTAAAGCCGTAGATCTACGGGACAGACCCTCAAAGGGTTAACAAAGGTGACAGAAAGCCGGGTAAATATGTGGGCCTGGAGCCAGCAGAGAAAACATGGTGATACTGTGACTAATATTCACAATCACCAGAAAAGAATTTACTAAAAAAATCTACAAATGAAAGGGAGGAGAAAAAGGGAAACCAAAAAATTGAACACATAAGCAAGATGAAACCAAATCAACTTATTAAAACTCATAAGAATGCGCAAAAAAAAAAAAAAAAAAAAAAAGATTATCAACACACAATTTAAAAGAGGAAAGTAATATGTAGATACATGGAATTTAATATAGGCAAGAACAGCGGAACCTCAGTTTTTGTATGCCCTGGTTTTCGTAGGATTCGGTTTTCGACAATTTTTTTCGTCGAAAATTTGTCCGTTTTCAGACATCCACTCGGTTTTCATAGAGTTGACAATGGTCTGCCGTACCAAATGCATCCGCCTGCCCACGCCCACAGAATGTGTCCTTGAGAAGTATTCTGAAGGGTTAGAGGCTGACCCTGATGACTCTACGCTTATTGTGGAATCTATTGTGTCTTTGGGGGAGTCCATGGGGTTGGATGTGAGTGGCCAGGATGTGGAAGAGTTGGTGGACAACCACAAGGAAGAGCTAACCACTGAAGACCTGCAAGACCTTCAACTGGAACAGCAACAGACTGCAGCTGAGGAAATTTTTGCAGAGGAGGAAGAGAGAGGGGAGAATGTGTCTGCAGTGATTAAGGACGTGTGTGCAAAGTGGAAAGAGTTGCAAAGTTTTGTTGAGAAATATCACCCTAACAAAGCTGTTGCAAGCCATGTCTGCAACATGTCAATGACAATGCCTTGTCCCATTTTAGGTAAATCTTAGAGACGCCAGAAACAGACCT